CTGTTCGATTATCTGATAAATGATCTCGATGAATAACATCTAATGCATATTTCGACTGAGAAATGAGATAGCCCTTCGGAAAAGAAGCAATCTCAATTTCCAAGAAGTACTGAAGTTGACTGAAATCTTTGATCTCAAATTGATCCAGCAATTGAGTTTTCAATAGTTGTATACCAACAGTGTCATCACTTATAATAATCATATCATTAACATAAAGCAATAGAATAATAAAACTTGTGGAAGTGGATCATAAAAAAATAAAAAATAGAGGCATCATGATCATCGACATGAAAGCCTAAGTTACAGATATCTGATGAGAACTTCGCAAACCATGCCTAAGGAGCCTATTTAAGGCCATATAGAGCTTTGTGAAATCTACATACTTTGACTAGGACTATGAGACAATCTAGGAGGAGGAATCATAAAAACTTCTTCTAACAAATCTCCATGGAGAAAGACATTTTTCACATCCATCTGAGATAAGCTCCACTAACGAATAAAAGCTATAGCAATCACAGTACGAACTGTAGTCATCTTAACAACACAGGCAAAAGTCTCCTCATAGTGTAAGCCAAACTCCTAAGTAAATCCCTTGGCTACTAATCGGGCTTTGTACCTATCTGCAGAACCATTTGACTTCATTTTAATCTTATAAACCCATTTACAACCAATTTTGCGTTTGCCATAAGGTAAAGATACCAATTCTCAAGCTTTGATCTTATGGTAAGTTAGATAGCTCCTCATCCATAGCCTGCTACCAAAGAGGGTCAGGTAAAGCCTTGGGTTTAGAAAGAGAATGGATATAAGTGAGAAAAGAACAAAAATCAGAAGAATAACAAGAGTTGAAGAAACCAAACCTCTCTAGACACTTTTGAGATTGTTGAGAATAGTGGGGAGTCGGATCCACAACATTAGAATTTGATTGGGGTACCGGAGAAGGAGACATTGCATCCATAAAAGAGATAGTGGGAGTCCTGTGAACATAAGTATGCACAATAAGGGGACGGAGAGCACATAACACAAATATATCAATAACATATATATCATGGAGAACATCAGCTGGAAAGGGATCGATGTAAATGAGATCTGATTGACGTACAATTGAAGATCTGTATGGAATCGAGAAGAAAGATATTCTCCAAGTAGTTTACATGACGAGAGACATAAAGTTTGTAGTAATATGATCATAGCAGCGATAATCCTTTTAACCTACACCATAATCAAGTAAAACACATAAAGCTGAACGAGCAGAAAGTTTAGTATAGAGGGCACTAGGGAGCAAGACAAAACAAGTACAACAAACACACATAAAGAGAAATAATTTGGTGGCTTATCACATAATTTCTCGAATTGGGAGACACCAGAAGTGAGGATAGTAGGGATGCAATTAATCAAGTGAACTGTTGTGAGAATTGCTTCCCCCCAAAATGTGCTTGGGACATTTGTTGACAACAAAAGAGAGCAGACTGTCTTCACAATATGGCGATGTTTGCGTTCAGCAATGTCATTTTGCTAATGTGTATCAATACAAGAACACTGATAAGTAGTTCCATCAAATTTCAACAAGTCCTGAAAGGAAGCAAAAGAGTATTCACCTCCTTGATCACATTAAAAATATTTAATGAAAGAAGAATATTGAGTGTGAAGTACGAAAAGTAGTAAATATAGCAAATAATTCATATCATCGTTTCATCAAAATATACCTAATAGTGCGTGGTATTTGGACCCTCGTGTAGGACTAGGAGTACGTCCCCAATTATCAGAATGTATAAGAAGATCAAATAGTGCAAGAGAGCTAGTAAAACTTTTAATGAAAGGTAATGCAGTAAACTTTGCTAACCTACATCCCTTACAATTACAGATATTATGACACTCTAAACTACCTAAACCACCAATTGACTAAAAATTTCAATCGTGAATGAGAAACTTAACTACAGCGAGAATACCACAAATAAAAACTATATGACCGTGGACTTAATCAAAAAGAAGAAAAATTGACAGTAAAAGTAGCAACATCTGGAACATATAGCCACTCTAACACATACAATCCTCCCTTCCTACTGCCAGTCCCAATCAACTTCTTTGAATCATTGGTCAATAAGATGTGTGACACCGAAGTCAAAGATTCAAGTAGTTCGAGATATACCTAAAGGACTTGAAGTGAACGAACTTACTAAGGAAGAGACTGTAAGAGCACTAGGCTAATGGAGAGAAAGAAGCTTCTTGTAACTGATTAGGAATCGTAGTCAAGTTGGGAGTTGATGGTGATGACTCATCCACCGGTGGTGCAATAGTAGCTGTGTGACGATCACTGGGCCTAAATAATTGATTTAGGGACCCCTTAGCATTCTTATTCACCAATTTTGGACACTGGGTCTTCCAGCAGCCCTTCTCATGACAGAAGCTACACTCATTTGAAGCAGTCCGACCTTGATACTTAATTTGTGAATAAGATGGCACCTTTAGTGGTGCAGCCAATATAAGTTTAATTAGGTAGTGAAATAAGACCCTTTTCAGAAAAAGCCTTAAGACGGACTTCTTCGGCCAAAAGTCACTGCATCAATTGATGGTAGTAGATGACAATGAACAATCGAATCATGGAGCCCCTCAAAATCATCTCTGAATGCGATCAAGAATTACACCAATTGTTGCTCCTCTCTAAAAGTGAGGTATGCCTTATTAGTGCTCAAATTCACGGGTTCCGTTAGGACCAACTGATCTCAATATCAAGTTATAATCGAGTAAAATTCTTGTATGCTCCGGACACCTTGTTGTGTAGCTCTAATTTCATGTTCAAGTTGATATCTTTTTGTAAAATTGGACTGAACAAAGAAAGTAGCTAAATAGTCCTAAATTTATTTGGTTGTAGAAAACTTGGTCAAATGAACAACAGTGGTCTGATCAATTGAGTCGTTAATGCAGGTAATGATCTTGGTGTTATTGATGTCCCACTGGTACTTCAAATCAGCAAATCAGTGTACTTTTTTGCCTTAGTGTTTGTAGGAGCTGTCCCCACACTATTGACATAGCTCCACGTTTCTTTACCAAGCAATTTTTTTTTTCATGAAATAGGCACAATAAGTATAATTTCCACCCATTAATTTTACTGCGATGGCTTGAAAAGAATCTGAACCCCCACTCGCCATGACTAGATCACAATAAATCAAATTCAAGGTCAAAGCTCACACAATAAACCAAAACCCACATTGTAAATACAACCAAAACAACCCAATAGCAGATCAGAAGAGCCAACAAGAAACCCAAATCAACGCCCCAGTTCAGAGAACCGAGAAAACAACAAACACCCCACAGCCACCAATGTGAATGAAGACAAGCAGGAGAATACTGATGGAGGTTGCAACACTACTGTGCAACCAAGGAGGACATCAGAAGGCTGAAAACAACAAAGAAGGGGGACGAATCTAACAACGACGATGAACAGGTAGCACAACAGAGAAGGAGACCCCAGAAATCAGTGCAATATATTGGAAATCACCCAATCGAGCAACCAGAACAAGAGTGTGCTGAAAAACGAGAAAACCAGAAAAGAAAAAAATGCACCGAAGCAATGTTTCAGGCCACTGAATCTCAAAAATCATCCAAATCTCATCCCAAATCAACCCAACAGCTTTGAATCACTCAAATGAGCATATAACACCCTTAGTCGCACCCCTCGTTACTGATTGGAACCAGAAATTTTGGCCAATAACACCAGATGTAGCAGATCGAAAATCTCTTTAGGTATTTTTTTCAAAAATATTCAAAACATAGAAACACCTACCAGATGAACTCGAAATAAAAAACGAAGCATACCAATGAGAAGCCCATGGAGAGTTGGTTTTGGTGGTGGTCTTCATGGTCAGAAATTGATGACGTTATCATCGGCGATGATGATGTCAGCGTTGCTGGCTGGGAAAAAGTCCATCCTTATTCCTCTGATGTTCTATTTTTTATTTTAGATCATAACACGCTCCAATACCATGTAAACAATGATCAAACAAAGGGAAGAAAAGAGGAGAGAAAACGAGAGAATATACTACGGCTAAGTTAACCTATAATCCATCAATCCTAAGACAGAAAACAAGATAAATGACTAAACTACTCCTAATACTAATTTGCTAGAATACTCAAAACACTTATATCCACTTAATAGTACAAAGAGACTAAAGTAACCAATCACTGAGATAGAAAAAAAATAATACAGTAATCATTGAATCGTGGAGAGGTTTGAGAACATGGATTTTTAGTTTGACCTTGTTCCATGGTGGATGTAAATTTTCGTTGGTGTAACACTTTGCTCTACATTGGTCTTGTGGGTACATTTATCATGTCTAATGAAGCATCATTTTTCCATGACATTGATGTGAGGCACAACTTCGGAGACGCAGGGGAAGTTGTGGCAGCTGAATGACGAGGATTTCAGTGACAATTTATCTTCCTGAATTTTGGAAGCAATGCCAATCACATGTATTTTCTATTGAAGGGAGAGGGGAAAACAAAAAGGCACATTTGCAACGCATGTGTGTGTGTGTGAGAGAGAGAGAGAGAGGCTGTTGTCGAGGAGAGTCATGATTGGGAAAGAGTGGAAGCAAAAGCTGAATCAGTTTATTAAAAGAAGAATTATTATGAATAATAAAAGATTCAGAGAGCAAGAAAATAAATTGGATTATCTTTTGGAATTCCTATTTGAGGGAGTGGGCTGTTTAGTATCAAACCATTATAGAAATACCTTTGTGTGTGTGTGTGTGTATATGTCTAATAAGAGACCTTGCAATTCAAATTTTATCCCCCACATATTTTTTTTCCCTTATTTCCATCACTTCGCCTATTCCTCTGCCTCCCTCTTGCTCTCTTTCTCCCATCATTTCTCTCCTCCCTCTTCTCTCTTTACCCTTTTCTCCCCTCTCAATCTCCAACACCAATTCTAGAAAAACTCTGGTGACCGTGCAACTCCGGCAACCTATTTGTCTTCAACGTTGGTCTCTCTCTCCCATTCTTCTCTTCTCTTTATCTTTTCTGCAACACACACGCAACACAAACACACACTCAACACGAATCACATACACACTGAGGACATGGACACACACATCGACATTCACACACAAGGACACACACCTACTCACCCACACACACACAAACAGACCCAGCACACACACCCTTATCACACTCATTGCATGCAAAACATACACAAAATCTATCTAACAAGAGACCTAGCAATTCAAATTTTATCCCCCACATAATTTTGCCCCTTATTTCCATCACATCACCCATTCCTCTGCCTCCCTCTTTCCCCCTTTCTCCCGTCATTTCTCTCCTCCCTCTTCTCTCCCACCTTTTTCTCTTTTCCCTCAATCTCCAACACCAATTTTGTCAAAACCCCGGTAACCCAACAACTCCGGAAAACCTTTTTGTCTCTAGCGTTGGTCTCTCTCTCCCACTCTTTTCTTCTCTTCCCTTCTCTTCTCTTCTCTTCTCTTTATCTTTTCTGCAGCACACACACACACACCACAAATCGCACACACAGAGACACAAAACACACACCAATGTCACACAGCAAACACATATCACACATGTACACACCAATCACACACAAGGACACACCCACTCAACCACACACATACAGAGGACATAGAACACACCCATGTCACACAGTAAACACATACACACCGATCACACACAAGGACACACTCATTCAAACCCCCCCCAAACCCCCCAAAAGCACACACACCCTTATCACATTGCGTGCAAAACATACACAATCTATCTAATAAGAGACCTAACAACTCAAATTTTATCCCCCATATATTTTTTTCCCATTATTTCCATCACATCATCCATTCCTCTGCCTCCCTCTTACCCACTTTTTCCATTATTTCTCTACTCCCTCTTCTCTCTCACCCTTTTCTCTCCTCCCTCAATCTCCAACACCAATTCTAGCAAAACTCTGGTGACCTAGCAACTTTGGCAAACCTATTTGTCTCCAATGTTGGTCTCTCTCTCGTTTTTATCTTCTCTTTATATTTCTGCAACACAAACACACATACTCAACACAAATCGCACACACACACATAGGACAGCAAACACACATATCACACAAAAAACACATATCGCATGCATACACACCGAGCATGCACAAGGACACACACACGCACTTACCCATCACACACAAATACAGAGACCCAACACACACCTTTGTCACACACATTGCGTGCAAAACATACACACAACGCAAACAAACACACACATGCACTCACCCACACATCGTGCACATTGCACAAACAAATCCACAACAAAAATTGAAATCACACACCCAACGCACACACCCCCACATCCCACACATTGCATACACAGACGGAGCACAACATAGTGCACACAAATTGAAATTTGTTAATTTGGACATCAAGTGTTTGTTGGAATGCATGAGAGAAATATTTTATGCTCTACAATTGTTTTGATCGGTATGAATTTATTGTGTATCTATTTTTTGTGAGGATAATGTGTTAGAATTATGTTCCTCTTTGATGGGATTTGTTGGATTTTGGCAACTGTTTTTATAATAATTCATTGGATTCTTTTCCTTGGGTTTTAATTGATTATTTCATTTTGTTTGATTCGGGTTTGTCACTGATAATATAGTTTGCTTTGCTACTTAAGTTGACATTGGATGCATATTTATTCTTTGGGCTTTGATTGCTTTTGATTGGTTGTAGGTGTATCAAATTTTGTAGCGTAGAAGTGTGATGGGTTATGTGCGTAGGTTGTGAAGGACGAGAAGATAGGTGGAGTGAATGTTGGGCTCAATTGGACAACAAACTATTGTTGTTTTGATTTGCAGGCTTTCTTTCACTCCTATTTTTTGCTTCTTAATCTTGGTTATTAATTTTATTGGAGTTATTAATTTCACTTTGAGTTTGTGCATACTTGGTTTGGGGGTGAGGTAGGGTAATTAGAACATGAAATAACTTGCATATTGGAAGCCTTAATGGATCATTGTTTTTTTGGTGTTAATTTTTATTTTCAAAATGTTGATTCATCCTCGATAAATTACATATTAAGTGGTATTCATTATAGAAAAATGTTACACAAACCAAATGGAACTCAAAAATTGCAATTCAAATGTACATCATCCCTTAGATGAGTGGGTCCCACTGAAAAAGTGGGTCAGTCAACCTGTTGCTGGATAATGACAAAAAAAAAAAACGTGTTGCTGGATATACATGTGATTTTCTGAGTCCACCTTGAACTTTGAAGTAATCTGGTTTGTAAGAGATTGATATTATATACTTCAAGAAGTCAAGTGGTTGTCTTAGATATTCCAACAGGATCGTTCTACGGTAGCATGATTAAGATCATCGCTGAAGCTGGTCATGCATTGAAGAACTGCTTCAGTTAAAGCCATGATTGAAAAACCTTGTAAGAAATTGAAAGGATTGTAGTCAAAAGCCATACTAGGAGGAGCACTGGCCAGTTTTAGATAGAAAGTGTTGCTATTTCTTTAACATCTTCGTATGGTTGGCTTTTACTGCTTTTGGAGCCAGAGAAGGAAGTATCTTCGTGATTGCTACAAGGATGTATTTTGTTCTGCTTAATCTTGGGATAATGCAACAGATAGCTCTTTTGAACAGAAATTCTAACAAAATCAAGGAAGGTGGTGCTTTACTTGGTCTAATATATATATAAGAAACAATTATTTTAGAGTATTTGATTTTTCCTTCAGTGCCTTGTTTTCGTGGTATTATTGCTCATGTTTCTGTCTTCCTTTCCAACTTCACCCTCCCATTAGGTTGAGCTTGTAAATGCTTAATTAAAAGGTGTTAAAATTTTAGTTTAGTGAGCTTAAAAAAAAAGGCTACCATGTCTGTTGATGTCTTCAGGTTGTTCGACGATGTTTCGATTGCATCATCGGGGAGTGTCTATTAAGCTCATTCAGCATTCTTTTGAGGCTTTGATTCAGACATTAGCCAGAATCTAAAGCCTGATTAATTCAACACTCTTTCCTGAATTTGATGTTTCTTAAATAATCAATGTTGTTTGGCTTTGGACAGACCTCAAAGGAGTACTTAGAGAAGCAGATGGCAGAGGTGGAGAACAATCTGAAGGAGCTGTTGCAGCAAGATCCCAGTCTTGCTCGTCAGATAATGTCGATGTCTGTAATGTAAACCTTTTAGATTCTGAATATTGTTTTTCCCCTTTTTCGTGCATTTTGTAGACCAAAAACAAAAATCTGTAAGAATATTTGCTTATACATCTATTGCTCTGTGGCACGCTGCTGTATGATTTCATTGAAACGAGGTTCTGGACATGCTCTGCTTCTTGTCCTTTTCACCGTATTGCCTGCTAAATTTGTTTTTATGAAGATGGCGTACTTGATCAGCTATTCATGCATTCACAGTAGATTACTTTATCATCAATTGTATCGTATCGTGTCATCACATTTTTATATTGTCATTTTGAGTTGTGTACCATTCGGGTCGCATTATTTAGGTTTTTTATATCATGTTCGTATCAATAATTGTATGAACAAAAAGTTACTTAAATGCAAAAAAAAAAAAAAAAATTATCGTACAATTTATGATACAACTCAGCTCAAGGTGGTCTTCTAAAATGTTTCATTTTTTTTGTCACAATAGTAGATCAGAGTGAAAAAAATTTCACTTTTAAGTTTTGACTGGATTCAAACCTGAAAAGTCAGCCGTATATACAGTCTTCCATACGCTACATTGCTTCCCTCGAAGCAAAACACTCGCATCTAGGAGAAAAACTATTTTAGTTCAACATAATGGCTGGCGGGAGGTTGATAAAACGATGTATGTATAATAGCTCAAATTGCATGGGTATGTAATCTGACTCGGTTGAACACACTCCTAGACGAGGCCGTGTGAGCATTGATCATTACTCTGCAGGAGGCTTACATTTAGAACTGTAGTGAGAGTTATGCTCCATTTGATAAAAAGGAAGAAAAGTACGAAGGATAGAAAGTAGTAACAATATGTTTTCTATCCTTCAAGGAAGGAAAGTAAAAATGATACATTTTTCTTTCTTTGTATTTGGTAGAATAGATAAAAAATAAAAATAATTAATTTTTTTTTATTAGGGGTGACAATCGAGTCATGTCATATTAGGTTCGTGTCGAGTTATTGCGAATTTGTGTTGAACATTAGTTAAACCTAGCTTAACTCATTTAACTAATCGTATCGTGTCGAGTTGATCTATTTATTTTCGTATCGTATTTGTGTTGACCCACATAAACTTTGAAAAAAAAAATTTATCGCCAATATTCTATTTTCACTTAATTGAATTTATGTTTATACGTTTTTCATAGATTAAAAATTAATTTAAATAAATATTATAATAATAATAAGTAAAAATATCTTTTTATAAAATAATTATGTCAGTGCTTAATAAATAGTTAAAAATAATTGACATTTTATGTCTATACTATTAGTTAAATATGTTAATTTCGTATTACCATACAAACGAGAAAATAGAGAAAATATTTATTCTTAAATAAACGGGATTGATGGTGTCAATTTTGGGTTTGACGGATTGAATTGAATATGAGACGTTTATATTTCGTGTTCGCGTGTCAGGTCATTTTTGAGTTCGTATTAAGTTATAATCAAGTTCGTGTTATAAAATTCGTGTCAAGTTTGATTCGTGTTACCATGTTGAATCGAAAATTTTCATCCCTAATTAGGATAGAAAAAATATTTTTCTATTTTTTTAAAAAGTATAAATATATATTTTATCATTATATTTATATATAAAATTAATGTATACATAATATATGTATATATCAAAGGATATATAGATAAATAAGATACATTTGAATACAAATAATTAACTTTCTATCCACTTTTCTTCCTATTTTGGAGGAATTGATTTTGATGAGTTAAAAGAAAAACTCATTCATCCACTTTTCTATCATTTCTATTTTTCTTTCTTACAAAACATGATTTTTTATTTATTTCTAAAACTTTCTATTCATCTAACTCTTCGTTCTTCCATTTTTCCATTGTATGAATCGGAGCACTAGCATTAAGACATCAGTCACAAAATCAAAAAGAATTTCTGGACCCATCCATACATATAAATCCAAGTATCCGTAATCTGTTGAAGAGCCGTGCTTAACCCTTCTAGCTTCACAATATATTAACGCTCACATTGCAATGCGGGAAAAAAGCACATTGCAATGCGTATAAACCAATATAAGTTTCTGTTGGTGCATTTAAAGCCAGTGTACTAGATGATCTCTTCGCCTTCAAGCCACTACCCCGGACATATCATAAGAAGATGATCACTTACAACGAAGCACCAAGAAGGTCAAAAGAGTTCCATTTAATATCAGAAGATGTAATGGTATTGGACCCAGCAACCACTACATTACCAGCGACCCAAGAACATGAGATGACTGAGAAGCCATTAGCACCATCAACGAGAAATTAGAGGAACTATATGGCAGCACTTCTAGAAGATTTATCAGATGAGGAGATTATTGGAAACCATGGGGATGAAAACAAAGGACAAGCAGATGTCACAATCATTGATACATCTGATGATATTTAGTTATCTAAGAAGACACTCTCACAAATTCAGGGATGGACTCCTAGTGAAACTTCTTGGCAGAAATATCAAATACAAAATGTTATGCATGCAAGTAAGGAATTTATGGGGTTACAGGGAGACTTTGACGCAATCGACTTAGACAACGGATTTTATCTTTTCAATTTCCATCCGAGAGAGGATTGCTTCAAAATCTCCACTGGAGTACCATGGATCATCATGAACCATTATCTTACGACAAGAAAGTGGGAATCGGACTTTATCCATCAAAGGCTTCGGAGATCACCATAGCAATTTGGTCATGATTGCCAGAATTACCCCTAGCATATTACGATGAGAAGACTATGTTCCAAATTGCAAAAGCCCTGGGGAAGCCAATCAATGTAGACATAAAGAGAGCAACCACAAAGAGACAAATTTGCTAGAATTTATGTGGAGAAGGATCTGAGCAAACCCGTTGTATCCCAATACGGATTGGGTTCCAGATTGTTTAGAGTGGCGTATGAGTGTCTCCACACAATTTGCTTTGGATGTGGTAGGGTATGTATGTCACATGGCACCTTACTGTCCATACTCAAGAAAAAATTCAGAAGCTCCGCTGGGGATCAGAGATCAGGGCGCCACCGAAAATGGGAAAGCTAACCCTAACCCTGCAACAGCTTACACCCCCCAACGGTCGAATGACAGACCTAGTTAAAAAAAGGCAGAATTAGGCCATGGATGATGGCCCAATCCAGAAGAACATAATCAGTTAAAAAATAAGCCTTTTTTTTTTGTTAAGTCGGTATACTTTTTATTACTTATTTGGCTTTAAATATAAATTTTAAAAATATTTGACAAAAAAGTACATTTTGGAGTAGAAAGACCAAATTACCCCTAACCATCATCACATCACTATTGAGAAAACCAGATAAGGAAGCTAATTAAATTTGAGTTTTATTATATTTGAACTTTTCTCTCTCTTTATATCTCATATATATGTATTAATCATAATCCGTACTTAAAGACACGATCAAACATAAAATTCAAACGCTCAAAAAAATTTATCCCACTATATTAAATAATCATTTTTCTTTCTTTCTTTCATTTATTTGATTACATCATTTAAAATCTATGTTTATCTATTATTTTCTTAAAAATATCGACAATTTTTTCGTAATTTGACAAATTTTTCTCAATATATATATTATCGTGTATGGATAATATTTGAAATAAAAAATATATTAAACTATAAATTAATCAAATATTAAAATAATTTGGCATGTGATAGAAATGGGTGATGTGATTTTTTAGGGGAGAAAATGTGCAGAGGATAAAATTCAAATTGTGACCTATCTTATTATATAGATATACACATATAAATTCAAAACTTAAATAAATTTAAAATTTCTTAATTTAAAATTTTTCCCAATTCTTTCTAAAATTCTAAGATTTTAGGATTTTCTTATATTAAAATTATTTCGTTATATAAATATATATATATATATACACACATACATAACTAAAGAACTATTTTTAAAAGTATTTAATTTTAAATACTTTCTAAGATAAGGACTATTTTTCTCTCTATATATATATTTTGTGACAAAAAATATTGCGACATATATTGTCACGCTAATGTCACACTGCTTGTGGGTCATACTGTGGGCATCACAAATGTGGCATTAATGTCACACTATATATAGACACCATATACAGGGTTTGCACATAAATAGTATCACACTATGACTCACAAAAACATATGGTAAGTATCACAGTGTGAATCCAATGTCATAATGCAACTACATATCATATGCATTGTTTTTTCATGGTGTGGCCATAAAAAATGTGATTTAAATGTTATACTGCAAAACAAACATCATATGTAGTGTTTTGCACAGGATAGGTATCACACAATGTAACTTAAATGTAACATTGCATAAATAGAGAGAAAATAAAGGGGGGGAGAGGAGAATAATGGGAAAGAGAAAATAGAGGGAGAGAGAGAAAAAGAGAGATAAAATAGAGAGATAGATATTAACAGTGAAAGTCAAATATAGAGAGATAATAGGAAATCCTTTTAAAACTAATGGAATCCTTTCAAAATTCAAATGATTAATTATCCTTTAATTTAGGAAACCACTTAACCATTAAAATAGAATTAAAAAAATAATAAAATTGTCCCAATAAAATAGAAAACTGAATCTCATAATTACTGCTTAACTTATCTTCTATGAATAAAGGAAAATGACTTTTACGTAAATAAAATATTTACAAAAAGCCAAAGTGTATATGTTCACAAAATAGTTATACAAAAAAAAAAAAAAAAACTTATACATAGAAGATTTATATTAAAGTATTTTCTCACAAATAAATAGTTTATAGTGTATTTCTTCACAAATTTTCCTAAAAAATAGGTTAACACAAACAAATTAACTCATACCAATAGATTTCAGGCCCAGAAAGCATGCCCAAGGAGAAGGGCCAAGCCCAAGATTGTGTAATAACACAAAACCCCACCAAAACATAACCAACACTAGTCTACTAGAAATTGAGAAATGGGGCCCAATCAAGTATGAGGAGGCCATAATATTAGATCTCTTAGAGTGGCCCAAGTCATGTAAAGGCCCACAATCTAAAAGGAAATACTGTTGATACATTCTTGTATATAGGGATGGTAGTGGGTCGAAGCGAAGGCAGAGGTGTAGTATTCATCCCTATACCTACTTAAAAAAATTTCATCTATTTCTGGTCCACCCCCGTTAATGGGTATAGTTTTCATCTTCATCCTAGTCCGCGGGTAAATTTGTAATTCTCGCCCCTGCCCCACCCTGTCGCCCGTCTTCACCCCCACCCCCATCCCTCGTACGCGCCCTAGTCCCAGCCCCAGCCCAACCCAATCCAAAGTCAAAGTCAAAGTCAAAGTTAACATAATCCAAAATTCTAAATTAATCCAACAACATTCTAAATAATTTAACATAATTATAGAATATTATAATATAATTAAACGCTTATCTACAACATAAACCAATATAATATAATTAAAAACTTGTCTACAACATAATCTAACATAATATAATTAAAACCTTGTCTACAACATAATTCAACATAATATAATTAAAACCTTGTCTCCCATGTAAATTCGACACAACATCATGCAACGCAATATAATGTAACATAACATAATTCAACATAACACAAATAACAAATGTTCAAAATACTACTTGAATATTTGTAATGGAGAAACTTTTCTGTCATGTACCTTCACAGTTGTAATTTAATAAAGAAAATAAAACATAAAAAATGATAATAATTGCATAAAAAATTTTTGTAATTACTAATAAATTGATTGGTTGAAATGAAAAAATTACCAACTCAATTATTTCGTAACACCATCCGTGGTGGTAGAATCTACTTCTTCAACATCATTTTCCTATATCATTAAAAGAAAAAAAATTATTAGATTCTTCTAAAGGGAAATTTCAACTAAAATTATTTATCTCATCACCAACATCAACATCTTCCAATAATGTGTAACTCTTCAGGCCCGTCAAAGTAAATGAACCTAACAAAAAAAAAACATCGGTCATACTTTACCCCCCAAAAAAAATTATGATGCACATACAAATAATATTTCAATACCTCCAATTAAAGTCTCTACCGTAGTTAGAAGAAGTCTATTGTGATGTGGAATGATCACCCTCTCACTTGTGCTAAAAGTAGATTTTGAGGCAACGGTAGAAACAAGAATAACAAAAAGATCTTTAGCAATCATTTGAAACATTGGATACTTGAGATCACTTGTCTTCCAAAAAGATAGTAAATCAAAATTTGAAGTTCTTGGTATCATATCATCTTCTCTGTAACTATCCAACTCAGACCTCCCACACACTTTTATTATGTTTCTTGTTTCTATAAACTTATCAAAATCGGAGAGATCATCAATTAATGGCATTTGGAACCAATATCAGATTGAAGAGGGGGAAGAGCAGGCTGCAGTTCATAATCACTCCCTTGCCTCGCCTCATATTTGCCTACCAATTCTAAGCAAAACTCCTTAATCCTCATCTCTTCATTTGAAGCTCCCACATCTTCATACATTTTTTCATAATAATACTCCAAAATTCTCAACTTATATCGTGAATCTAAAATAGGTGTTATTCCCATAACACCATGAATCACACTCCAATATTTGTTAAACGTTTTAAACATATTCAAGGTCATATCTTTTATCACGTCTTTAAGACTTTGAATCTACTTAGATATTTCTACCTTTATCTCATAAATAGTTGGAAAGTATATATTGGTAGTAGAATATTGTCATGCCCTAATTTTTTTTCCTTTTCAAAAAAAAAAAATCCGGGCGTGATTAAAGAATAAAATCACACCGAACTTACAACAGCCTTCCTTGTATTATTATATTCTGCGTACGAGTACGTAATCCTCACATGATCATTTTAAATATTCTTGATACAACATAAAGAGAAATAATAATAGCAGACTCTATCCATTGTCCTTTCAGCCTATCCTCCGATCCGACTTCATATATTTGAAAAATGTTAGATAGGATGAGCTCACCAGCTCAGTAGGACAACGTTTATAAATGACTACCAAGGTTTTAAAACAATGCATAATATAATTAAACAACGGATAAATACAGGAACAGGGCAATGTAATGAATCAAATAAATAAATAAAATTTAGCACACATCAATCATATCAATTTGTCAATTTTCTGGTCCACGGATGAACTGCGTTCGAAGAAAACTTTGGGGTCTTGCACCTTAAGGAACCCAATGTCATTCTTACTTTTCTGGAAACACCAATACCAAGAATTATGTAGTGCCACATAGGCTACCACGACAACCAATATTACTAACCAGTGAACCCAAGGATTAATAGGAATCCTGTTAATCCTCGCAAGGATCACGCATGTACTAACTCTCTACCCTCAAATATGTGCATTCATAGTAATTTCATTAAAATTATAAAATAAAGTCATATTGTAGTCAGACCCAATAACAAATTAAACATTAAATAATAAAAAAAATATATTTATTATGCAACATG